GTGATTACTAACTTTCAGAAAATGAAAATGAGCAAACATTTAGTAGAAAAAACACCATTTGTGTCTTCACTAAAGTTGTTACATTCTAATCTGAAGAGGTAGTAAATTTTTTTCAAAGTACTGTTGTTATGTAGCACTAGTATCTTAAAGCATTCTTAAAATGTGCTAGCACCTAGATTAATTTTGTACTTGCTTAATAAGAAACTTTTTGGATACAATTTCTGCCACTCAACAGTACCAAAACTACAATTTAGACCACAGGTCCAAATTTAATACCTTAAAAACAGATACAGGTAGCCACAACACACCTTTGAAAACAGAGACACTCTGATTTCACTTTGGAGAAGTATGCCAAAACTTCTCATTATGACAGTAAAAATGTTCTCTTCTCATAACGAAAGTGAAAATGTTTCAAAAAAGGAGATTCGCTCTATCTTTCCCACCCCCAACTTCTTTGGCCCCCCAGAAAAAAACAATGGCTCCAAATGTGAATTCTTATGGATGGGTGCTAATTCCAAAAGAAGGAAAGGAATGAGGCCTCCTTCTTTAAAAAAAAAAAAAACAAACCTATAGTTTCAAAAACTTTGAAACTATCTTGCAGGCACTTTATGCAGGGTCTTTTATAAGCAGATTTATGTTCATTAACTAAATTTTACAAAAATCTGTCACCTGCGTTTCTTCCTAAGTGTTAATCATCGTAGATACAGGTTCATCTAACTTTCCCAAAGTTTTTGGGCCTATTTGATCTGTCACTGTTGGGAAGCCACTGCATGGCAGATACTAAAAAAGGCTTTGCTTTCCCTCATGTAATCATTTGTTACAATTTTCCTATGCTCCTACCATGTCCCGGGCACAGTGAGAGATACTGGAGAGATAGAATGTCAAACAGCCTGTGCTCTTTTGTGCTTACCAGAGGGGAAATGTTGAGGGGCTGAGAATCAGAGTGAAAATAAACATTTACACATACTAAAAAGCGATAGCATGAAGCATTAGGAAGAAAACAAGGGCGGCCAGGTGAACACAGATGGGAGGGCGAGAGGTGCTAATCTAGACGAAGTAGTCAGGAAGGCCTTTCCGAGCTGATGCACTGAGCTGTGGGCGGTGAGCCCCATGAAGTCGCCACTCCACTGACAAGGTGAGTCTTGCTACCGGTGACACCCCCCCCCCCCCCCCCCGGCGCGGGACAGGCACGTGGCTCCACTCTAAGTGTTCAAGAACTACCTGCTCAGAGGAGACAGATTTCGAGGCATCCCAGGCACCTTAGGCCACGGCCTGGGGTGGAGGCGTCGCTGTGCACCACCACCACCACCACTGCCCTGGGGGCTGGCTCCACTTTCCCGAGCGCTGTGAGGGCGAAGGTCGCGTCCAGAGCGCCTCGGGAGTTCTTCGGGGTAACCGGGCCGGCATCACTCCCCACGCAACAGCGAGGACCCGGCTTCCCCGACTCCCGCCACCTCCCACCGCCCAAGCTGGACGCCCGCCGCAGGCAAGCTCCCTCGGAAGGGTAAAAAGGGGAAAGCGCTGTCGAAACTTTTGGGGCAGCGTCTCTCCTCTCCCGGCCTGAGAGGCCTCGCGACCGAACACCCGCGCGCCCCGGCCCAAACCTCGGCTTCCGACCCGCCTCTCCGCGAGCGCCAGGGCGCGCGGCCGCCACTGCAGGCGGCGGGGCCGGGGGCTGAGCACCGGCGCGGCCGGGTCGGGGCGCCGCGCGCGAGCGTGGGGGGCCGGCAAGCCGGGGCCCCGACCCGGGGTCGCGCCAAGACAAAGCGGCGGCGCCAGCGGGGCCCGGGCTGGAGTCGGACGCGGCGGGCCCCGCGCCCCCTCACCTGTCGAGCCAGAAGGTCCAGGGCGAGTGCAGCGGGACCCCGCCCGGTTCGGGCCGCAGCGCCGACAGCTGCTGCAGGCCGAGAGGCGGCTCGGCGCCCGCGGCGTCCGCGCGGGGCCCCGGCGGCTCCCGGGGCCCGGCGGGGGGCGCGGTGGCCGGGGGCATCGCCATTTTCTCCGCCCCGCCTGCGAGGCCGGCGGACGCGCGGACCGCGGGGCGAGCGGCGGCTGAGTCACCCGGGCCCCCAGCGCCCGCCCCGCGCGCCCGCCGCCCCGCCCCGCCCCGCCCCGCCCCGCCCCGCCCCGCCCCGGGCCTCTGCCCCCCGCCGGCCCCCGCCGGCCCCAACCCGCCGGGCCTGGGAGCCCCGCCGCCCGGCTGCCGAACAAAAGCAGGCCAGCTCACGGCGGGCGGCGGGCGGATTCCACCCGGGCACAGGCAGGGCCCAGAGAACGGGCAAAGGCTGCGGGGCCGGCCGAAGGGAGGGCAGCGCCGCGGCCAGGGACAGATTAGCGGGCTAAGGGCGTGGCGGGGGGTTGGGGGGTGGGAGGCGGGCATCAGGGAGTTGGTTCTGCAGCAGCCAGAAGATCTCTTGGAGAAGGTTGAGCTATTACAGAAAGATGGAGGGTGGAAGGATGGACCAGTGGATGGAGTCACTTGGTGGAGAGGAACGGTGGATGGAGATAGCCTAACAGCAGTCTTAAGGATGGGTGGGCAACGAGGCGTGGAAGGGCAGATGGACACAGTTGGATGTGACCGATAGATGGCACGTGGAACCGCTGGACAAATGGATAAACTGACTGGAATGCCCATCAGTGCACTAAGAAATGGCCAGACAACCACAGGGACCATGAATTTGGGCATGCAGTTGTAGCAAGGCAGCTTTGCATTTTTCATGGTGACAGCATTTTTCCTGACTCAGATTATTTGAGGGACCAGAAACCCCCATCCCCACCTTCTCGAGGGCCACCTTGTGCCCAGAGCGAGGAGTTTATTAAGCCTAGTCCAAAGTATGGCCAATTCAAAGTAGTGTTCCCAAAGCTCTCTAGGCTTGTAGGGTAGGGTGGGTAGGAGGAAACTGGCAGTCTGGAACACAGAGCCCCTGCCTCCTGCACTTCTGAATGTAATATGTCCAGTGGCCATAAAAATCCTGAGCCCAGAGCTAGAAGGCTCCTGCTTACACAGCCTGAGGGCGTGTGACCACAGTTCATACCTGGCATGGGCACGGGCACCCTCCTTAGAGGCCTAATGTCTGCAACGTTCCTCTCTGCCCTTTTACAGTTGTGGAGGTAGAATTCCATCTTCTCACAGATTTGCTACCTGGTCTAGCACAGGTTCTGCTCTTCGTTTGAGCATTCCCTGAAATGGACTAGGAGCTGCAAAACCAGATGGGTTCAGGGGCTTTTATAGGCATTGTAGGCACCTACCATGAGTCCTGTGTTAGGTGGCTTCCCTAAAAGGTATTCAATAAAATGAAAAATACCAGATAAAACAACAATGAAAACAAGACCACTGCTTTGTAATCCTTCCTTCAAACATAATTGCTATATAATATGATGGTAGAGCAGTGACATATTTATCAAGACCTTACAACTCTGCTACAGATACTTTTCATTAGAGACTTTTTTTTTGTTTAATTTCTCATTTTTTAGAACACAAATATGCCATTGTATAGGCTTTTCTGAGCATTTTGTGCTTATTAACTCACTTAAACCTCATAATAATCCAGTAAGGAAGGTACTACTATTTTACAGATGAGGAACAGAAAAGTTTAATTAATTCTAAGGTCACACAGCTAATAAGTGATAGAGTCAGATTTTGAACACAGATATTCAGAGTCCAGAATCTAGGCTTTTCACTTCTAGACTCTACTGCCTCTCTAACTGGAAAACTAATAGGTTACATAGTAAAAATGAGGCAATGAATAGTAAGTCTCTCTCCCTCCAAAGGCTGTAAATCTTCCTGCCCAGAGGAAACAACTGTTAGCAGTTTCCTTCTGGAAAAATGCAAGTATATACATAAAAGCATATATCTAAATATATAAATTGTATACCTCGCCCTAGCTTTTATAACAGAATAGAAGCATTTTATATCACTGCTACAACTCCTTATCTTAGCAGATACTTGAAGTTTTTTCCATATCAAAACATATAAATCTACTTAATTTTGAGGGTTGCTAAGTAATCCCTTCTGAAGTAATATAATTCACTAGCCCTTAAGATTTAGTTTACTATTATTTTCTTTTATAAATAATGCTACTACAAGCATTTATATATTTTCTGTCTTTCCTCACGTGCACAAGTTTATTTCAGAATAAGTATAAGGTAGAATTTTTGCTTGCATAAAAAAATTTAATATACATTGCTAAATTATAAAGTGGTTACATGAATTTATAATTGATTGACTCTGAAATTTCATACTTACTAAATGCCATTTATTATAAAATTCTATAGCATTGGCAGAGTTTTTGCTTTCTAATTACAACTAGTCAGTGTCACGTTTAGCTCCTTCATATGTCCTTTAACAATACCCTCAGATAGAAAAGGGTTATTTTAAAATTCTTCTCACAGTTTCTAGAAAGTATGTATCATATAATAAAGTACATTCAGAATTTAGAACTAGAAAAAGTCTGGCAATGCTTTTTATTGAATAACAATTATGTACTTCCCTCTCTCTCTTGTTGCTTTGGCTTCCAGGATGCTCAAAATTATATTTGATGCTGAATCACATCAATATTAGCCAATGAAAAAGCATCCCTATTTCATATTAATTTAGTCCTATTTCTATTTTAAAAGCCTAATTGCATCTTAGACTGTGAACCTCTCAAATCTATTTTGGAAGTAGGTGGTATACAAATGAATAAAATGTAAGTGATCTTAAGATTAATGAAAAAAAAAAAGGTCAGGTAACATAGGCTAGGTGAGAGGCAAGGAGGAAAAAATGGGCATAACTTTCATTCTCTTCCTGTTTGAAGTGTGTATGACACTTAACTATTATTGTTCTTCAGAATCCTCCTTAGACTATAACAAAATAGGAAAATCCCCCATCATCTTCCCTACTTTGCGAATGAACAACAAGAATTTGAATTTCAGGACAGAAAGGGACCTGGAAGATTATCTAAGCTAACCCAACATTTATAAATGAGGAAACTGAGGCTCAGAGAGATGAGATGACTTACCTGAGGCCACAGCTCTAGGAAAAGACAGAGGCAGGACTAGAACGTGGGTAGCTGGAGATCCAGGTCAAGGTGCTCTCTCACTGTATGACACGAAACTCAGACGACTTGGGGTGGCAGAAAGGAGGAAGAGAAGGTGACCCCACAGCCCCTAGCAACAACAAAAAAAAGGACTTGAGGCACTCATAAATAATTAAGCAATTAGCTGCTGCAGCTACTCCCCTCCTCTCCCCTCTAGCATCCAGTCACCAAGGCAACTTGGGCAGGGTGCCTGCTGGTTGCCTAGTAACAGTGTGGTCTGCTCCCCTGACATGCTCCCTAGGCATCAAAGGATTTGAGAGCTGGGAAGAGCCTGAGACAGGGATCACTATTCCAACACCTTCGTTTTCTAAATAGGGAAATAGAGGCCCAGAGAAGCCGAGTAATCTGCCCAAGGTCACACAGCTACTCAGAGGCACAATCATTTCCAGTTGCTTTCCATTGCACTAGGGCTGCCTTGGGAATGCTGCGCATGGAGGAGAGGAGAGCTCTCCACAGATCCTAGAAGAATAAGAGTGAGCAAGAAAGAAAGAAAGAAAGAGACAGAGACCTTGAGCTCTCATATGCAATTAGCAGGAGCTGGTAATCCCATCAGCCCAACTTTCACCATCACCATGGCAACATGGGTGAGGTGAGTGCTTGTTGCCTAGTAACAAGTGGTCCTCTCTCTTCCACTCACATCCAGTTCCCTGGGAGTCACAGGAACAGTAGAATGTTGTAGCTGGAAGGGAAGGCAAAGGTTTCTAACTCAGGCTCTTCTTAGACCACTGAGGAAACTGAGTTTCTGGCACTCTACAGAAAATTACACAGACCAACTACTGGTAGAGGCTCATTGTTGCCCAGCCAGACTCTTCTGAATTCCCTCCATTTATTGCCTCCATCCCAGCTTTGTGGGAAGGAAAACAACTCAATAAAGTCAAGATGGGGGTTGGGAGAGGAGAAGGGAAATGGCTGATCCTGGAGGTCCTTCTCCCTTGTCTAGATGGTGGCAATGTTACACACAAGGACTGCACACAGTAGGTGTACACAGGAGGCAAAACACATGGTAATTAGACACAGGGCCTCTAACGTCAGAAAACCTGAGTCAACGACCAGCTCGCCCCAAACCTAGCAAGCTGCTTATTTATGCTTCAGTTTCCACATCTGAGAAATGGGCAACATAGTCCCTAACTCTTGAGTTTTAATTAGCATTAAATAAAGCACGAGTCAGTGCCTGGGACTTGTGTTAGGCATTCATTTATTGTACATTCAGTAAATATTTGTTCCATGTCTGCTATGCAAATGCCACTGTTGCTAGTTCTTAGGATTCATCAGTGAGCAGTACAGACAAAGGAAATTCCTGTCTCAGGGAGCTTCCTCTCCAGTGGAGTGATATATAAAATATATCATTTAAATGTTTGTTGAATGGGTGGAAGAACTCACTGGCAATGTGCTGTGTTTATGTTATTGGACTCCTTCTCTAAGACTGAGAAGTTTCCTGTTTACAGGATGTGATGCTATAAATACGCAAGCCTTCTTGTATGTGGGAACTCTGTTTTCCTTTCTTTTAAAAGCTCAGAAGAAAAAGGCAGGCAGTGGCCATGAGATGGCAGACCTCAGTTTCCCCAGGTACAGACCCTGACTGAAGTTTCCAGCAAAGACAAGTGCTTCAGCTGGTCAGTCGGAGGGGGATGGCATGGAGTGGTGGGGGAGACTTGGAACTCCTCTAGGACACTGGAGGTACTGGGTGGGGGAGGTGCTGGGGTGTGATTTAAGAGTGTGTGGGTAAGCTGTGTGACCTTGGGAAGCTATTAAACTTGCTGATTCCATATTCCTCATCTGGAACATGGAGATGGTGACAAGAGCTCCCTCAAAGGCCTGCGTTGAGGCATGAGTGAGAAAATAAGTCTAAAGCACCTTGCAAGCTGCATATAGTAAAGCTCAACTAATGTTACTTAACTAGGCTCTGAGAGACCTCTGAAGGTCTGATTCAGAGTTGCAAATGGCAGGGAAAAGGGTAAAGGAAATAGCATTTGTTAATCTTTTATAATGCGAAGACTCAGGACTCCCAGTCCTGGGCTTAGAAAATATGACATGAAGATTCATTTGCCACACACTCCACACCCATAACTAGCAATCAGTCACAGAGCCCTATGCTCTTCTTTCTGTACCCCTGGTTGGTCTTTCTTCTTTATTTCCACTGGTATCACCCACTCCACGTCCCTGTCTCCTGAGTTCCAGTCAAGCACAACCCTCTATGAATTCATTTCCCAGATTCTAGTCTTTATTCTCTGCCACTTTATCCTTTCAAACGATGATATTTTACTCTTTCTAAAAAGCTCTTTTTTTTTTTTTTTTTTTTTTTTTTTTGCTACTTTTTTGTTCAAAAGTCCTAAATGGCTGCCTGTCCCTCATAGGATCTAAATGGCTGCCTGTCCCTCTGAGATCTGAAATCTCCAGTGTAGCATTTGGAATGTTCCTCACCCAAATGCCTTTGCAAATATATGTTCAAATACATTTGGTAGATATATGTATATACACCTATATTTGAATATACTTAGAAATACAGATATATGTATATATTTAGAAATACTAATCTTCCAAACAGATTTGTTCCTATTCCTCTTGGTGTGTCTTCAGCTCTCTCACAACAAGAGCAGTGAAGAGCAGGCCCGTGACCCTCTTGGCCCCTGCTGCGTCCCTGTTCCTAGGGTAGTGTCCAGCACATGGGAGGTTCAACTTCACTGACTCGATGAATTGTTTATCCCCACTTGGTAAACACGCTGTGTACGCTCACAATGTCACACTTTGGCCCGAAGCCTTTCTTTTTTTCCTGCCCATTCAAACTCTCTAACCATCCTGCGCAAATGCCATTGCAGGAGATCAGTCACCAAGTACATGCTTGAAAGTGCAGGAGATGGAAAGGGCTGCAGAGCCACACCTGGGCAGACACCCAAGCTACTTTCCCTGGGAACCCCCTTGCCCTGGCAAAGGAACCCTGGAAAGTAACTGATTTTACCTGGTTGAGAAAAATGTCACAAGTCTTTGGCTCTGTGGCCAGTTTAAGAATTCAGATGAAAGGACAGGATTTCACTGGTTGGAGGAACAATGATTCATAGAGTTGACTCTCACTATTGAATATTTACTTTTGTACCAAAGCTTTTCTCCATCATGTGCAACCTGAAGTAAAAATACTCTCCAAATCACTGGGTCCTTATCAAACAGTTGTTATTAATGGTCCCCCAGGCCAATGCATAAACCAGGGCTGTGAGGACTGCATAGACGACATACCTGACCTGAAGTGGAAGGCTGGCAAGTCTTAATAAGCTTATCTTTGCAGTTTGTAGAGAGGGTGAGATGGGCAACAGAGAGGTAACATAACCAAAGGAATGTCCAAAATGTGTGTTTGCACCCACTCTTAACTGCTGTTTGATGTGTCCTCGCAATGTTGGTGGTTGTGTCTTTGTGACAGTTCTTGGTGGAGAGAATCCAACATCTTCTAGGCTGTTTGAACACAGGTGTGTTCTCCTTTGAACTCTTTGGACGTTTAAAGAAAGAAGAAAGGGGACCAACCATCCAAGTGTGCTTGAGATCGTTGGGATTTGAGCACAGTCAGTTCCAGAAAATCCATCCTGGCACTGGGCAAACCCTAGTGGTGGGTGATTCCTGGAGCACTGGCTCTCCACTTGGCCTCCTGCTTCCCTCAGAGGTACCCGAGGTCAGTCTGCAACTGCTTGCTCAGCGGGAAAAGTCAGTACTGAGCTGGTTACTTCATTGTAGCTAAGAAGCTACTTTAAGGATAAGATTTTGATTTTTGCTGTCAGTTATAACTCAGACATCATTTGGGGGAATATCCTGCCAGACAATCTGAGGAGAACACTGTGATTTCAACTACTTTGAAGCTTAAATAATCACTTCTTATGGCATAAAAAATCCTAATACAGAAAATAGAAACTTGCTCAGCAAAATATTAGGGTTGAATGAATCCTGTTGCAAAAGGACCACCTGCACCTTATTTCCCACATTAACCTATGCTTTTTGAGGTGGGAAGCTTGCTTCCGTTGGTCCTCACAGGTTATTATAAAGACTGTTTATGTAGTGAATATTCAATAAGTATCTGAATAAGGAGTCCCTCTATGTTTAAAACATTCATTAAAGTGTTATTGCAATATTTTATAAGTCATTTATTCTTAAGAACTGAGTGTTCTAAAATTTGAGAAGACATTATCACTTGATGGTTAATTAGAAAAGGAAAATAAAGCAATTTTTAAAATGAAGCCATGTTATTTGTTCTCCAAAAAAAAATGTAATTGCATAAAATTTTCAGAATTAGAGCTACTGCGCAAATTGTACATTAGGAATCATGAAGATATTTTTCAGCAACATTTTAGGCCAAAAAACCTCCACAGTTACTTAATCTTTCTTCTACTATCAGCCAGAATAAAGAATTATACTGTCAATATTTTCACTCCTTTCCTGATGATTTTCATTTGCTACTTATTATGCATATAATGTTAAGTTGCATATTATAGTATTTCTTTAAATATTTCTTAGTTTTGAGGCTACCAGAAGGCAGGGAAAAGAAAAAGGAGAGGGGGTTCCCAATGGATTATGGTGGAGGATTATTGGGGTTTTGGCTGTGGGCATGGTGGGAAAACACACCTTTACAGAGGTGTGAATCTATACCTCTAAAATACATACAGTGTTGTAAACCAACATTACTTCAATAAACATAATTAAAAGCAAAAGAAAATACAATCAGAAAAAAGATTCTTAGTTTTTAGAAAATGATACCTTTTTCTAAGAAGTAAACTCTATGCATATATTGATCATACTAGGTTCATGACAAAATGTCATCTCTAATGGGGTTTATGACAAACATGGTGCCCCCAGATCACTTTCCTTTTGCTTTGTGTGTCACAAACATTTACTGTCATTGACAATGATCTTAGAGATCGCCAAAAAATGTTTATGTCCTTTAAAAACCTTCCAGATCCCTCAGAACTATACTCTGAAATATCCTAATTTTGAGTCAATTGTCTATCATTTCTAATATGCCAAAGGGCCATGTATTCTGGTCATATTACACTACAATATTTTACATTATTTTGTCAATAAAATACAACACCATCT